AACATCATTTTCACTGTACACACACAAATCAATGAAAAAATATTTCCATTGATGATCATCAAAATTTAGAGGTAGGCAAAGTAAGAAAAATGCTCCTTGAGAAGTCAGAAATCCAGTGATTTAGACTTTTGAATCTGGCTTGTTACAAATGGACTAGCAAATGAATAGTAAAAACAGGTCTGATTTGTTGATCTAAAGATATTTATCATATGATATTGACAATTTGTGTTTTTATATACTGTTAAAGTTTAACTTTTTGAATTTCAACATCTGTTTTCATTAAATAATTGTCTGATTGCTCCCCATAATTTCACACCACTGTGAAAATTTAAATTGATAAAATCTTTTAAAAATAAACATTTGATATTAGCCATTGAAATGATAAAAAAAATAAAATTTGAATTCTGACAAGGCTAGCAATAAGATACTAAGATAAGGTCTGCAAAATAAAAAACAATAAAATAATGTACATGACTGAAAACAAGCTGATTAAAATCATAGGATGCAGGATGGGAGTGGAATACATGGGGGTGGGGGATGCCCAGCCAAGGGCTGGGGTGAGTTGATTTTCACGCACGCTTGCTAGAGAAGTAGTTGACATTTTCACTGTGGAGGCTTGTGTTCAGTTATGTGACAAGTGGGCAGAAGCCAGTTCATTCCTCCCTGTGGTTAAAAAACTACAGCTAGAAGGGCTCAGTGAACACTGCAGAGTTCACCTCAGGCTAGGTCTACACTACCCGCCTGAATCGGCGGGTAGAAATCGACCTCTCGGGGATCGAATTATCGCGTCTTGTCGGGACGCGACAATCGATCCCCAAATCGACGCGCTTACTCCACCAGCAGAGGTAGGAGTAAGCGCCGTTGATGGGGAGCCGCGGAGGTCGATTTTGCCGCCGTCCTCACAGCGGGGTAAGTCGGCTCCGATACATCGAATTCAGCTACGCTATTCGCGTAGCTGAATTTGCGTATCTTAAATCGACCCCCCCCTGTAGTGAAGACCTGCCCTCAGAGAGTTTCCGTTTAATGCTTCCTTAAGGAGGAAGGGATTAGATGAGTCTCAGGCAGAGGAAACAGCTTCTAACCCCTCACCAATCCAAAGGGAAAGGAACCATTAAACCTTCGGAGGGGCCTCTCCATGGTGTTGTTGAGTCTTGCCAACTCGCCAGACAGGAAGAAGCCACACTGTCATTGGCTGCTCCTTCCATGCAGTTCCCCCTCCCCCAGATGGGAGTGCAGTAACAGGTGCTTTGCCTCAAGTAGAGCTTTTGCTTCTTGTTCAGTTGTAGATGAAGATTTAGACAAGACACAAATGCTCCAGGACCCAAAGATGCATGGTCTGCCTTAGGGCTCAGCCTACATTCTTCCCCCCACCCCCCTCAGCCCTGTAACAGATTATGTGTGTAGTAGCATCATTCACCAGTGAAGGTTTGGATTATGTTTTTATTTATTTTTTGATTAAGGTTTTATTTTTCAGATCAATAAAAACCTGGTGCAGGAAACCTTTAATATCCATGGATGCCCTGTGAAAGAGACAATAGTCGTGGAATCAACTCTGACCAAAGCCGTATACCTTGCACCTTAACTGGTTGATCAGTGGAAGACTCACTGCCTTTTGAATTGCGCAAAATACAGACAGTGAATAAAAATAAAATAAATACAGATAATAAAGTTTAAATAGTCACCTTCTTCCAAATTATGGCGAAATTCTTAGGATGTTCCTTTTAACTAACCGGCTTTATTACTGCATTTTAACAGCTATTTTCAACAACAGCATGTTTTTTTCAACAAATAGTCCCATTTATAGAGAGCACTTTTTTACAGGATCTTTGAAAAAACCCAGTTTAGGCTCTTCTATTTGTCTACATTAATAAATAAAGTCAACCAGTACAAAAAGTTTTATGTTGAGAAATCACTGGCTTCTTTTCCAGTTCTCTAGAGGGCATTTTCTCTTTCCCTGTACTACTTCTTAAAACTCCACCATAAAATCTACCCTAACATCCAACAAATCTCTTACAACAGCTTAGTCCTAAGTATTAGCCTGGGGAGTCTGTTCTACTAGCAGCAGTGTGACAGAGTTGCTTGAATGTTACCAATAATATGTCCAGTAATCTCAAGTGTGTGGTGATGCACGTCATGCATCTGAAGAGAATAATGGGCCCAACCACTCTATTTCCAAGGCAAAATAAGCCTGCTCTTCAAGTCCATGGGAGTCTTTCCATTGGTTTCAGTGGATTTTGGATGAAGTGCTTAAAGAGGGGTGCTGTTCATAACATTGGAAGGCAGGGGGAAGATTCTTCCTATGTTGCATAGGATTTACTGTATTGGCTCAGACCAGGTACCCATTTATTCCACAGATTATTTGTTACTATACATTGCTTTATCTTTATCCTGTTTAAATTTAATCTGTTCCCACAGCACCCAGGCCCACAACTTGTTTGGTTATCCTGAATTTTGCACAGTCAGTAAGTTTTATACCGAAATATATTAGTATTAAGAAGTTGAGATAATTATAAAGCCATTACATTATATAATGGCATATTCTCATCATAAGGAAATGTATTCAAATTTGGTCACTTAATCTTTTTTTAAAAAGGGGAGGCATAGCAGTAGTATATTATCATATTGAACTTTACTTTTAAAACTCTATTATCTGTATTTATTTTTATTCTCTGTTTGCATTTTGTGCAATTCACATAAAAATTGTAAAGGAAATAGATACCTTGATGCTAAAGAAAATACCCAAATGTTAGGTCTTTCCCCGAGGCTGACTGTTCCAATGATCTTATATGTATGTGGTTTCCTGTTTGCATCCCTTCTCTGTTTTTCTCTGTCACAGGGGAAGAAATGCAAGCATATTTTAAAATGAAAAATATGGCTTCTAATTTTGAATTATTAAACCAAATTAATCCTTATGTAACACTGGGGAGAGGGGAGGTATTTTGGAGACAAATTTGATCCATGGTTTGTTTTCTCTGCAAGGTATTGGTGATTTTAGTAAACCAAAGAGCCACCAATATATGTTCCACCAACCTGAGGAGCCTGGTGCCTTGTGATCTATGGGGCTTGAGAAGCAAAAAATGAGGAAAAAATATAAAGGCATTAAAACACCCAGTCTATTTTTTTTAATCAACTGGGAAAGGAAAGAGAATAGAAAGACAGTAGAGGAGATGACAGAGATGAACCAAAACAGAAACATAAATAAAGTGGCCCTACCTTTTTTAAAGGTTTAGTACCACTGAAATACAGTGTGTACTGACTGTTCAGTATGCCATTGAAATGCTGATTCTACCAGCCATAAGTACCATCTTTAAGGCTTTAGAGCCTTAGGGCTTGTCTATACTTACGCGCTGGTTCGGCGGCAGGCAATCGAACTTCTGGGTTCGATTTATCGCGTCTTGTCTGGATGCAATAAATCGAACCCAGAAGTGCTCGCCGTCGACTCCGGTAATCCTGCTCGGTGTGAGGAGTACGCGGAGTCGACAGGGGAGCCTGCCTGCCACGTCTGGACCGCGGTAAGTTCGAACTAAGGTACGTTGACTTCAGCTACGTTATTCACGTAGCTGAAGTTGCGTACCTTAGTTCGAATTGGGGGGTTAGTGTAGACCAGGCCCTAGGATATGTCCACACAGCAATACACACTTGCAGCTGGCCCATGCTATCCATCTCAGACTCAAGAGCTAGGGCTGTAGGGCAGCTTTATTGCTGTGTAGACTTCCAGGCTTGGGCTGGAGCCTGGTCTCTAGGATCCTGGCGGGGGGAGGGGAGGAGCAGGGGAGAAGGGAAGTGTCCCACAGCTTGGGCTCCAGCCCAAGCCTAGAAATTTATACAGCCCCATAGCCTGAGCCTTGTGAGTCCTAGTCAGCTAGCATGAGCCAGCCATGGATTTTTTTCGTTGCTGTGTAGACATACCCTTAGATATGCTCCTTCTTGTCATCTTATTTAGAGCAATTTCTTGAAGACCTTTACTTATACAAGTTGCCTCAATGATGTAAATTAAACTATTAACAAGTAAAAATGATTCTTAGGAGTAGGCATACTTGCATTACCCTAGTGTTTGTAGCAAGTATATAACATCAAATACATGTTCAAGAAGAGGGGCTATTTAACTCAACTGGAAAAAAGCAGGATACTTCAGGAAACTTTTTTTTTTAAGCCATCAGTGACTACATATATTAGTGTTAAATATCTGTGGTTTGGTGAACATCTGAAACTTCTGACTAACCAGGTGTACGGATTAATGGAAGTGCTATTCTGAGGTGCAGTTTCACTGATATAGAAATATAAGGAACAGAGGGAGTAATGCTGATGTTAGCTTAATACTTTGTACTTTATTAAAAAAAGTAAAAAAAAAAAACTTTATTGAGAACTGCTATACAAATGCAAAGCTGTTGATTAGAGCTTACAGGTTCAAAGAGGCAAACTGAGAAGTTAAGTGTGTGATGAACTAACATAAGACCACAGGATGGACACACTGTAGATTAGGGTAGTTAGGATTTTTGGATAAAGGGAATTTGGATAACTGGAATTATACTGTATTACAAAACCTAGATAATAAATTCAATTGATAGTTACATGTCCATAGGTTCCTGAGGACTTGAGTGAGCTGTAGGATTAAAAATAATATTGATAACAGCCTTCCTTTTAAGGAAGTGTATTATATATATATGAAGCTCAAATTAATACAATTAAGGACACTGAAATTATAACATTGTATAAGCTTTTATACCAGAGTCACTACTATGATAACTGAGAACTTTAATTGAAAGCTAAGTCCTCCCAACTACAATGTGAAGTAATGTATTTACTGAGCTGCCTGGAGTATTTTCTTTCAAAGTCACTGATACTATATCACATCAAATGCACCCCTGAATGGTTGTATTTGGCCCACTCTATTTTACAGGACAGGGTCAATAACAGAAGAACGCAAGGACTGGGTGCTCATGGAAGAGGTGCTTATAGTGACTCTGAAAGACATTGTAGTCTTTGCAAGTCAATAAAAATCATGCATGTTTTCTGAATATTTCATAAAGGTATTTCTTGAACTTTTCACCCACAAAAGCGTAGATCACTGGGTTCAGGCAGCAGTGGCTGAAGGAGATGGTTTCAGTCACCTGCAGGGACAGGTCTAGGTTTTTGCTCGTCTCGCAGTCATCTCTGATGTGCAGGCTTTGCAAAGAAGCCAGAAAAAGTGCAATGTTGAAGGGCGCCCAGAAGAGGAAAGACGCAACTACAACAACAAAAAACAGCTTTATACTTGTTTCGGTTCACGCATCTCTGCAGGTTTTACAAGATGTGGGAGTAGCAGAAAATGGGAGTGCCAAATGGGATCAAGAAGTCCAATATATTGACTTCAAAATTGGTTAAAAGTTTCCAATGGTCCTATTATAGTGGTAATAAGAAGCACACTTCACAATGCCATCTTCATTAAATTCTTGGATAAAGAAGATATTTGGTATTTAAGCTAAAATGGCCACTGACCAAATGGCCAGGCTTATAATAATGCTGAGCAGGGTTGTTCGAACTTTCCGAGCGTACACAGCGTGGACGATGGCTAAGTACCTGTCTATGCTCATGAGGGTTATGAAGAAAATGCTGCTGTAGAAACCAATGTAGTAAATTCCACATATTAATTTACACATTGCGTTTCCAAAAGTCCATTGGCCTGAAGCATAATGAGCCAGGAAGGGGATGGAGAAAACATAAAGCAGGCCAGCAATGGCGAGGTTCAGCAAATAGACATCACTCAGGCTGGTCAATTTCTTGCAAACTACCAGAACACAGATGACCAAGCTGTTTCCCACCAAGCCGAACACGAACACCACACAGTAAAAGCCTGGAAAAAATACTGATCCAAAGATCTTGATATTCCATGTGCTGCAGGTGGAGCCCCACTTGGAATAATAATCATAAAAAGTAGAAGACTTGTCTCAGTTGAATAATTCATCATGAGGTGACTTGTTCAAGAGCACAGAATTTAATACAACCCAACAATCCTATTGTTTAGTTAGTAATCTAGGCACAATTGTGCCCTGACACATCACACTAGTTAACAAGATTGCACAGGCTGTAAAGGGGTAGAATTTGGCCCTGAGGACAGGCTAGCCTGTTCAGGTAAAAGAACATTTTGTCCTCAAGCCTCACACAACACCTGAACCAAATCAAAGCTTTTTTTTAAGTTTGAAGATATTTGGCTAACTTTGGGGTTTCATTAGATTTATTTTTTGTGAATCCCAAGAGAAAGGTTGTTCCCCAGTGCTTAATTTGTGCCAAGGCTTGCCAGGGCTGAGCTTCGGCACTTGTGGGCTTGGCAGTTCGTAGCCTCAGCATCTCTGGGCTTCCTCTTTCAGTTATGAAAGTAAAAAAATGCTTGCACCCCAGCACCTCTTTCATTGCAAATTAAGCACTGCTCTCCTCAAACCATTTCCATTAAAATGAAAAGAGGAAATACTGGGAAGCCCATGAGAGATCTTCTCACAGGGTTTCCTACTCAGTTTTACAAGCGATGCAGAGAGGGAGACAGGCTAGCATTGGGGAGGCAATGGATTTGTGACTTTCTTGGGTGGTGTGTCAGGGATGTGGTGTGTTTCCATGAGAAGCGGAACAACAAATAGTATATTAGCGAGCAGAAGAATTTTGAGAGTCCGATTAACTAGATAACTATATTCAGGCCCAAATCCTGTCCCCAGTGCTCAGCCTGAATGAATGGTACTCATGGGGATTCCCATTCACTGTGCATCCTGTTCAGCGGGTTAAGGAACCAGACTGACTTCATGGTGCATAATTAAAGCACCAATAAAACTGAGGTAGTGAACATGCTGAGCACCCTATTGTTTATCATTTCCTTGTTTCTAAACTATGTTTTCTTCAGAAAGGGCAGACAGCCGTGTGCACAGAGGACTGCACACATCCAGCCTGAGATTTCACACAAAGTCCATTTAGAATTCTGAGTGCAAAAGAAAAAAAAGCATCTGAATTTTTTTCTTAGTAGGTGACAACCACTTTTCCCCAGGACTTCAGCCTTGCTAGTGCCACGCTATAATATGCACCTTTCTAATTTACTAGAGACGAACAGTTAACTTTACAAATATATTTTGTAAATTACAAGCTCTGCTTATCATCACTGCACGCTGGGTGCAATTATCTTTTGCATCTATCGTACGTGTGGTGTTCCTACAGAGTCAAGGTGTTAATTTGAACGCACTCGCTCGCTCTCTCACTCGTTTAGGCAGAAACAAACACTAAATCTGCAGCAGCCAATTCTTGTCAAGAATTTTTTTTAAACATGCAGGGCCAAAATTTTTGTACGTGGGTGCCCAACCCTTGTTTGTATTTAGGTACCTAAATAAAAGTAGCCGTTTTTCAAAAGAGATGATCATTGCTAACTGTTCTGGAAGTCAATAAGGATTGTGAGTGCTCAGCAGCACTGCAAACCTGGCCATTTTTATTTAAATATAGCTAAATAATGATGTAGAAGCCTAACTTAAGGCAAGTTTGACCTATCTAGCTTGTTTATTATAATGTAATCCCCCAGATGACCCAGTCATGAAGGAGGTTCAATATAAACACATCTGATTCTGAATTTCCAAGGTCTCCTGAAGTTACTTCATGCACCTAGCCCCAATCTGATTACAGAGCAGCAACGTATCAGCTTGGCAAATAAAAATAAAGGTAAAGGCCTCGATTCTACATCATGTCCCACCTATGTTTGTAGTGGAGAATGGCAGCCTCAGGGAAGGTGTTGCAGCTCCCTGGCCAACCAGCCTGCATGAATGTTAGAACAGCAGGGGGCCAACTCTAGCTTCTGCCACTGGTGTAAGTTACATTAACGACAGCTCAGGAGTAATGGAGGCTCTGCTCCATCATGCCTCCTGCAGACAAACCAACTGCCGCTTTCCTGCCCTTATATCAAGAATGGGAGGGGAAGGGGAAACACAGTTGATGAAGAAGGCAGCAGACCCTCCTCTGACAGTTTTCCATCCACTTGAAGAGTTCCTCTGTACAAGGGGGGATGTTGTTCCAGCTCTCTCTCTGGCCATTTTAAGGCCATTTTGTATCAGGCTACACAAAGTGGCCCTATTAGACCAGAGAATCCAGGTCAAAGTGTCAAGAGAGGTGCACTATATTGTGTTTCTCAAACTTTTTGATACCAGGGACCAGTCTGCTGTCTTCATAAACTTCATAAACATGAAGGAGATCGCAGGGACTAGCGCTGGTCCACGGACCAATTGTTGAGAAACACTGCACTCTAATATCAATGTAGATCAAATGTTAAGGGCCTCACCTACAGAGGGGGTCACTTTTCCTTTTATGGGGGCATGCTCTAGAATTCCTGCCCTTTTGCCTCATTAGGGTTACAATTTCAGGGAGCTGAACTCAGGAAGACTATTAGGGTCTGATTGTCAGATTAGCTGAGAACCTGTCAGGCCCAGCGGTGAGGATCACCGTTGAGGATCAGGTTTGAGTGACCTTGAACTTGGGTGTGGGACAGAATGCTGAGAACCAGCCCTGGTCACTGCAAGCTGATATACAGCAGCAGCTACTCCCACATGTGATGAATCCTGTGGCAGCGAACAGCATCTGGGCAGAGGCGCTAGGCCTCTGTAAGATGAGCCTGCAGATGACTCCAATGCATGTTTGGTCACTTTTGAAAGAGTAGCTATGAGCGCAGATTGGGAGAAGGGAACCTGGGCCCTGTGGCTACACCCTATTTGACAGGGGATGCTCAGGTGACCGACCTGGTTCTAAATGACGAGCAGGCACAGGATTATGATGTGGTTAAGGTGGCCATCCGAGATCAGGTGGGCTTATCCCCTGAAAAGTATCAGCAAAAAATTTTGGGCCACTAGATGGACTGGCAGGCAGGCGGGAGGGGGGATTTACAGCCCAGGGCATTTGCCCAGAAACTGATGGACTAGGCTACCTGCTGACTGAGGCCAGATGCTCCGACGGTGGGTGAGATTATGGATGCAATGATTTTAGAACAGCTCCTGCAGCCCATCCCTGAGAACACTCGGGGGTGGGTCAGGAGGCATCAGACAGTGACCCTAAATGACTGCAGTCAAGCTCCCAGAAGAATTCATTGAGGTGGATATCGCCAGCAAAGAGGGGTCATAGTTCAAGGGACTGACTCTGGGGAGGAGAGTCAGAGAACTGCGGCTGGAAAGGTGGCAGAGAAGAAGAGGGCGGAACCTAGGGTGACTCCAGCTGGCTGTCAGGGTACCATGTGTTATCAGTACGGGTGACAAGGACACATAAAAAGGGGCTGCCCACCTATGGAATGTGGGTTTGCAGAGTTCTGCAACTGGGCCAGGAATTTTGGACATGGAAGGGGAAAGAAACTACCCACGGTTTCTGTAAGGCTGTGAAGGTGGATGCCTCTGAACAAGGCCCAAACTGTGACTGGGATGTGTGAAAGAGAAAAACCAATATTACTGCCATTTGCCCTGGCCCTCAGTGGGCATGATGGGTAATTATGCCTGTTGCTATGAAAAGGAACTTATGGGTTAGCAAAAGCTCTGGTTCCAGTAACTGGAGGCGGCTGAGGCTCAGATCTCCAGCAGCCCATAATTTTTGAGAAAAGCCCAAAACAAACATTCAACCCTCGTGATCATTTCACACTTTCTATCTAAATACTCACACCCCCTCTCACCAGGGTATCTGAGTAACTAACAGAAGTTATCAGCACAGCATAAAGGCCCACAAATGATCCATTTTGAAGGACCTTTTCTCAAGAAGCACTGATAGAAATTCTTTTTATAAAATCAGTACAGCTCAATTGCATACAGCCATGAGGATCGGATAGCAGAGGCTTCAGCTGGTAGGAACCAAGCAAATTTTCTCTAGACATTTTCTTTTCTGTAACTTTTTCTGAGTCTCCTGTTTATTGTGAGGTGGTGGTGAGGAATACCATTCCTGTTCACATTTGAGAGCCTCCTCGGACAATTTTCTCAGAGTGAATAACAATTCTTTAGTATTTGAAACCCCACAAAAGAACATTTAAGAGACATTATCAGATGCAATGTAAGCATGAACTCCAGTGACACTACATAAAAACTTCCAATAACTCCAACAACATAAGCCAACACCACAACAAAATAAGGCAGCTTTTATCCATTAATATATTCCAGATAGATGAAAAACAGAGATCAGAAAACATTATTTACAATAGATATTACAAATAACAATTAGCATCAAAGTACAGTTGTCTGAAGAACCTTAATTATGAATTTCCTCTCTTTCATTTTTTCCCCATAACTACAGCATTCTAATAAAGTTGTTTTGACTTAATGGATTTGGGACCATATTCTTTGCTGATGTAATCAATGGAGTGATGCCAGTTTGCACCAGGGAGAATTTGGCACTTTAATGTTTTGTTATTTTTGTCTGGAATTGTCTTTGCTTTTTTGGGTGGTTGGTTGTTTTAAGAGAGGCCACATGGAAACTGCAAACTGTACTGATCATGTCAGTGGATTTTGTTAACCCAAGTGAGTGCTATGTTGGATAAAATGACTACGACTTGGGACCCTATAGTTAGCTAGCTTGATATTACTTGTTTGTGGTGTAAATGTTTGCTTTAAATATTGTGATCTATAACTGCATGACAGGAGGTGTTCCACAATGCCCCATCTTGAACACTCTGGCCACTGTTTTGAACTCTGCTGCCAGCGGCCAGGAACACAAGAAACTGTCCCTCCCCTTTAAAGCCCCCTGAATTTTTGAAATTCCATTTCCTGGTTGTCCAGCTCACCTAGGAGAGCTCACCTAGCAACTCTCAAGCACATCTAGCAACTGCCCAGCTGACCATGCCTGCTCCACACTGCAGATACACTCCTGCCTGGTGTATAGAGGAGGTGTTGGATCTCCTGGGTCTGTGGGGAGAAGAGGCTGTGCAGGCACAGCTCCAATCCAGACACAGAAACATCAACATCTACGAGCAGATTGCCTGGGACATGGAGGAGAAGAACTACAAGACAGACCTGCAGCAGTGCCACGTGAAAGCCAAGGAGCTGCGGCAAGCGTACCAGAAGGCAAGAGAGGCCCACAATCACTCTTGTGTGGAGCCACAGACGTGCCACTTTTACAAAGAGCTACATGTCATCCTCAGCAGAGACCCCACACCACCCCCAAGAGGCCTATGGATACTTTGGAGGAGCCAGTGTCACAGGCCACCACTGTGAACAGCAAGAATGTGGACAAGGAAGAGGAGCAGGATTATGGGGGACAGGCGACCAGGGGATCCAGCAGCACAGCAAGCCAGAACATGTTTTTGAGTCCTGCACAATCCAGCCAGTCCCTACAGTTGAGCATGGAGGAGCCTGATGCAGGGGAAGGAACCTCTGGTAAGTATGCAGCTTGTTTTGAAATTACAGGGATGGAACCCCCAAAGCAGCAGGACACATCTGTTCATGTACTCTTTAACTTGTGCTAGAAGAGGTAGTTAAATAACCAATACAGGTAGCGGTCCTATTTGCTTTTCATTCCCTTGTAGAGTTAAGCAGAGGTGGCCCCTGTTTGTTTGTAAACTGTTTGTTTACATGCACTGGGATGTCCCATGAATCCTCCATAGATATCCTGATGAAACTTTCCTGCAGGTAGCCTGCAATTCTCTGCTGAAGGTTTATGGGGGAGGGGAGCTGTCTTATTTCTTCCACTGCCATAGGACACTTTCTCACACCACTCAGCAATTACTTCAGCAAGCACCACTGCAGCACACACAGGCAAGTATCATACAGTCCTGGTGGCACCCTGACACCTGCAGGAGCTGTTCCCTTTCAGCCTCTATTACCCTCAGGAGTGAGATATCAGCTAAAAACACCACCGACTGTGGAAAACAGTGCCAGTATTCAGTTCAGTTGCCCTATACACATAAACTCATGCCCGTGAGCTATCCCTCCTCATATCGCCAATCCCCCCAATGTCCAGGGCTGTACTCACCATGGCTGGGACTGCCGCCATGCTGCAGAAATCCCAAGGAGCTTACCTAGATTCCTGGGGCTCTGTGTGCTGGTAGCTCAGGGAGAGGCACACTGTCCCTGGAGGAAGTGGGACCCAAGGGCAGACTCAGAGTCTGCTCAGCAGCCAAAAGGGAGAGAGGAGAGACACTATTTAGAACAACACAGGTCCCTGTTGGTTTGGGGAAAGATGGCTGGTGCACCTGCTCGGAGGAAGGGACAAACTCAAATGATTGACAAGTGAAAGCCCAAGAACAAGAGCCAGCCTGACCAATAGGGAGTGAGAAGCCCTTCCCTGGGAGTTCAGGGGTGGGCCAGTTTGGAGCAGTCTGGAGCCAGCCAGGGCAAGGGCAGGACTTGCTGTGTGGGGAGCTGGTGAGTTCCAGGTCTGCATGCAGGGCTCCCCCGGAAACTGGCCTCTGGGGACTTGACAGCAAGATCCCTCATCTTGAGCCTTTCCTGCTCCAAGGTGACTCTCAGTTTGTAGAGCTTTGTTGGGAAATTTTCCCCCAGCCAGACTGAGTTAAGCTTCCAGCTCTTTAGGTGAGATCAGTCACCACATGGCACCACTGCTCTGGGTGCTAGTCCAGGGCTGCCCACCTGCTGTGAGTGGGTCTGAGCACTGGGGCGGGAGATTAGGAGTTTAGTGTAGTTTTGTAAGCCGCACCTTGAGCCCTGCACCCATTGGTGGTGAGGAGAAATCCTGGCACCAGAAGCAGCCTGACTCCTGCATGAAGAGGATGCCTGCCAGCAGCGATCGTCAGCCCTCTGCAGTGACTGAGGAGCCCAGAGCCATCTCTGAATCTGAAGATCCATTACAGAGTTGTGAGTCACCATCTTTTAGTTAGTTGGTCAGGAAAAATGTTTGGGAGACCCCTCACACCCTGAACTGTGTTCTCAAGCCAGGGGGTAAGGGTTTGGGGATTTTATTACCTGGTGCCCTACTAAATTTGCGGAAGGACTTAGCACCTTATCCCACTTGTGAGTCTACTGCTGCACAGATGATATTGTGGTCACAGGTCATCCAGGGACCCTACAAAGTACACATACCAATGGGACACTAATTTGACGTTTGCTATATTAGGTCACGTGACTGGAGAAATTCACGGGTATTATAAGTAGGGTCACTGGTGATCCTGAGAATAGTGTTTTACCCTGTTATGTTATATTTATCTTCTCTTTAATATAATTTCTATGTTAAATATATTGTACAGTAACTCCTCACTTAACATCCTCCTGGTTAATGTTGTTGCATTGTTTCGTTGTTACATCACTGATCTATTAGAGAACATGCTTGTTTAAAGTTGCGCAATTCTCCTTTATAACATTATTTGGCAGCTGCCCGCTTTGTCCATTGCTTGCAGGAAGAGCAGCCCGTTGGAGCAAGCTGGTGGGAGCTTAGAACCAGGGTGGACCGGCAGCCCCCCTATTAGCTCCCCTAAGTTCCCTGTGTGGCAGCCGCCCAGCAGGCTATCAATTGCCAGGCAGTTCAGCTGTCTCTCCCCCCACTGCCGTGTGCTGCTTCTGCCCTCTGCCTTGGAGCTGCTCCCGGGAGCCTTCTGCTTGCTGTGCAAGGGGTGGGGGAGAAGAGGGGTGCTGATGTCAGGGTGTCCCCCTCACCCCGCTTAGGATGAAGGGAGTTTGCTGGCAGCAGCTGCTGTCTCAACTTGCTGATCTACTTAAAAAGGCAATGTACTTAGAGTGGGGTCAGTGTACTTGAAGGGGCAATGTGCGTGTCTCTCTCTCTCTCACACACACACACACACACACACAAGGTCTCTCTCTCTCTCTCTCACACACACACACACACACACACACACACACACACACACACACACGGCACTTTGAAAGTGGAGGGAGTGGTGCGCTCCAGTGGGATAGCATGGGTTCATCATCACGTTCAGTTTCCGCAGGGAATGTCTGCAGCCACTGCCATGAGTCTATTGTGTCTCCTCCCTCCATTCGTGCTGCCTTGTAGAGTGTGAGGCTACATTAACAACAATGTGTTAACCCTTGAGGCTCAGCCAATTGCTAGTTCATCATTTAGCAGCAAGACATTCCCTGGGAAATATCCCACCCTCTGACACCTCAACCAAGCTTCACAATCATCATTGCTGTGTACGGTATTAAATTGTTTGTTTAAAACTGATGCTGTGTGTGTATATATATGTCTTTTGTCTGGCAAAAAAAATTCCCTGGAACCTAACCCCCTCTATTTATATTAATTCTTATGGGGAAATTGGATTCACTTAACATCGTTTAGCTTAAAGTAGCATTTTTCAGGAACATAACTACAACGTTAAGTGAGGAGTTACTGTATATGTTTGTGTTATTTCTTGGAAGCCTCCAACTATCTGGCAAATAAGTGGGGGTTACTCTGTGATTTGTATTTTCCTCCCATGCTGGCAAGGTGACCCTGCCAGGAAGGAGCATAGGGGGTGGAGGCACTGCCAAATAAATTAATAAGGGAAGAAAAAGAAGTTACACCCTGCTGAGTGGTGGCAGGATCCAGAAGAAGCCAGGTCTGTCCACCAAAACCCGTAAGGAGCTTGGCACTAAAGGAGGTAACTGGGTGGATAGGGGATGCTACATTGGAGGCATCGCTGGGATCCCGTCTTTTAAACTCAGATCTTAAATACACCTCTGCTGACTTCCCAGGGAAATTGAGTAAATTCCCAATATAGATTACCAGAAGAGGCTTTTAATTTGGTGTAAGCTGTAGGGAGCGGACCCTGAATGCCACTTCATGTTCATTAATATACCTACTGAATGGGAAGTTAGACAAATTGAAGATGAGATCGCCCGTGTCAGAAAATGGGAAACCTGTGTGGTTCGGAGTCAGATGCAAGTGAAAGGGGAAACTACTTTTTCTCTCCTTGTAGAGAGCAAGATTACAGGGGCGGCAGGTTTGTAGAAATTTTGGTGGTGCCCAAAGCCCAGAACCTGCTCCCCCAAACTCCGCCCCCCACCTCCCTAAAGCTCTGGGAGTTTGGGTGGGGGGAGGAGGTCTGGGGTGCGGGCCCTGGGCTGGGGCAGGGGATTGGGGTGCAGGAGGGGTGCAGGCTCTGGGAGGGAGTTTGGGTGCAGAAGGGGTGAGAGGTTGGGCTCTGGGAGGGAGTTTGGGTGGCGGAGGGGGTCTGGGGTGCAGGCTCTGGGATGGAGTTTGGGTGTAGACTCTGGGCTGGGGTAAGGAGTGGGGGTGCAGGCTCTGGGAGGGAGTGTGGAGGGCTGGGGTGCAGGCTCTGGGAGGGAGTTTGGGGGCAGGAGAGGATGTGTGGGAAGGGGGTGGGGTTGCAGGCTCTAGGACGGAGTTTGGGTGCTGGGTGCAGGCTCTGGGCTGGGGGTGGGGGTGTAGGCTCTGGGAGGGAGTTTGGGGGTGGGAGAGGTGTGTGGGAAAGGGGTGGGGGTGCAGGCTCTGGGAGGGGGTAGGGGGGTGCGGTGCTTACCTGGGGCTCCTAAGCAGGGCGGGCCAGGGGGCCTCTGTGCACTGCTACCCCCAGGACTGCCCCTGCAGCATCCTATTGGACGCAGGAGCGCTTGGGGCGGGAACAGCGCGTGTAGACACAGACACAGTCCCACCCCACCCAGGGGCTGCAGGGAGGGGCCGGCAGCCACGTGGAGTGGACAGGCAGGAAGCCGGTGGGCAGGGCCCCAGGCCGTTTTAAATCGCCCAGGGGACACGCATAGGGGAGCGTCCGGGGCAGAAGGCAGGGCTGAGGGAGAGACACAGCCTCAAACACTGCTGGAGCCGGGGAACATTAAGTTTTTCACTTGCTGTGGCCCATGCAGTACAAGGAAGTCCCTCAGGCTACTGCTCAAGTGGGTCCACAGTCCTGGATCATCTAGACTTAAGGAACTAAACTCAGCAGCAGCTGTTTCTTGCACCTACACCACACTCTTCTCTGATCTACACTTTTCTTCAGGAATGTGCATGGTTACATCCATTTGAGATGGAGATATCGATGCTGCAGTAGCTGCCAGGTCACCTGCACTCTGACTATCTGGAATATCAGGCATCTCCTCACCACTCACATCCTCACTGGGGCCGGAAGGCTCACCGTGAACATTTGTGTCTATGTATCTCAGGAGAGCTCCTTCCTGCTTAGATAGAAAAACTTCCTTTGCTTTCTTTCTTTTTCTGAATGCTGCCCCAGAGGGGCATTTTCTTCTTTCACTCATGACTGCTGTTCTGTGCCAGCTATAGTGGCTCTCAACACTCAATTGAAGGGGACAAATAAGCAGGCTGGTAGCAGGGCCTGAGTGAGGGAAGATATCAGCGTCTTAAGGGCCTAACTGGCTCCTACTACTTCAGTTGACTGCCTGTTCTCCTCAAGTGGGTTCAGGGAAGCAGCAGGAAACAGGAAGCTCCCTGAGAAGCTGGTGTTAATCAGTCCAGGCTCCTGGGGGTGCTAGAGAGGTACATAAGAGGCTCCTCCTCCTCTCTCTCCCTGCAGCTCCTGCTGCTTTCTGTTATTCCCTCTCACCTTTTCTCCCGCCTGCCTGTTATGTCTCTTGTGCCCTCCTTCCTCCAGCACAGCACTCCACCATCTCTGTGCACCTAGAGCAGAGAGAATACATATGCACCAGCAGCAGACACAATTTTCTACACTCTGGGTCCTAGTGGCACTCCCCCACCCCCCACAGTCTGGCACCTGAGGCAGGTGCCTCAGTTCACCTCATGGTAAGGCCAGCCCTACCCACAGCATAGCCTCACGGGGGGTGCTGCCTGCCTCTTGCCCCGTGGCTGCGGGCTGGGGTGGGGGCAGGATCACAGGGTCAGACACTCAAGGAAGCCCCAGCAGCTGCTCAGGTGAGTGAGGTCCAGAGGTCTCTTCCAGCGTCTCCTCCCGGTGGGTGCTGCCAATTATGTGTGCACCTCCTCCCCCTCTTCCAGTGCAGCAGCAGCCAGCTGCCTAAGCCTGTTCTTGTGCTGTACTCTAGCCTCAGGTGGCAGCACAGGCAAAGGAGAGCAGTGCGGAGCGGCAGGGCAGCCGCCCGCTTTTA